ATAATTTAATTTAACTTAAAACAAAGGAGCCACCCATGGCTAGAAGCCATACAGTGGACAAAACAGAACTAACATTAGTATGTCCTGAGAATGTCTCCTGCAGGGGTTCCAATCTGGGGCCCATGAACTCCAAGGAGGCCCATCCAAGAATGGTTTTGAGAGGGTCCATGGATGGTCTGAAGTTGCATCAAAAATTGCATACATGTGCAAGTGCATTTTCCCGAGTGTCGGATGCCTTCATCAGAATCTCAAAGGGGCCTGTCTCATCACAATGTTAAAACTTTGTTGTGGAACTGGGACCATTCTCGGAATGGTCAGCACATTCTCAGTTCTAGTAAGATCACTTGGTCCAAAACAGATTGAATTTTCCAGGAATCTGGTACAGGAACAACCTAAGCCCTCCATTAAATGAAGTCTTCATGCGCACCTGGTTTGGGCCCTCAACCCTATGCCTCATGGAAATCAATTCTGCCATGGAAGGGCTCAAGCAAGAAACCTCATTAACCTTACTTAGCATGTTATCTCATTCATTCACGGATTTGCTCACATGCTCATTCATTCATTCATTCATTAGATCTCTAGAAAGCGAGAGGACAAGGAAGGCAAGAAGCAAGCCAATACAGCCTCTAGGCCCTGTGCCGACATGGGGCAGACAGACTAGGAGCCTTTGAGAGGCAAAGGATGCTGGGCTGGAATGGAGGAGAGGCGGCTGATCCCAAGTCTCCCTAAGAAGCAGGTCGACCACTAATCCCCTTGCTGATTGTGCACAGCCAGGTGATGCCTCCCCCCAGGCAGGCAGCTGGGGGTTTACTCTCTAGAAAACAGGAAGCAGAGAGACTTAGAGTCAGAAGCACCGGGACAGGGAAACCACAACGGTAGCAAACGGGCTCATGCGAAAGTGCACACGCCCGACGTGAAGGGTCTGCACCTTCCGGTTGTCACTCCTAACAACCCAGGTGCCATAGCTCAGGACACTGGGCTAACACTTAGAGCAAATGGAAGACAGGAAAACAGCAGAGGCAGGCTGACCTCGCCACAGCCAAGAAGCCAACAGAAAATCAGATACATCAGGAAATGTCACTGGGCCGTTCCAAAGTGCATGCATTTCTCAAGAGGGGAGAAGGAGAGCTCACACTCATCCTTGAACTGTCGCTGCATCTTGTGTTTAAATTCCTCCGCTGAAATTCTACATGAGGTTCAGGCTTCGAGAGTCGCAGGCTGTTCCTGACAGCTCTCGTCGGTGGAAATCGGGGAGCCCTGCATGTAATGTGCTTGTTGAAGTGGGATGTGAAGCTCGCAGTGACAGGAGGGGATTGCTGAACTCTAGAAAGCTCCTGCCCGAAGCTATACATGGCACAGATTCAAAGACTGACACTGACATATATGTTTCTCCAGGACTGAGTGTGGAAAGATTTTATTTTCTCTGGATTTCATTTCAGAGGGCAGCAAAAAATAAGGATCAGGAGACGGTGGTAACAGCCTAATTTGGGTTTGACTAAAGCTCTCTGTTCTTAAGATTTCAATACTTCTCAGGGGGCCTGGGAGGTGCAATCGGTTAAGCAGCCGACTCTTGGTTTCAGCCCAGGTCGTGAGATCAAGCCCCAGGATGGGCTCCCCACTCAGCGGGGTGTCTGCTTGAGATTCTCCCTCTCCCTCTGCCCCTCCTGCTCATTCTCTTTCCCTCTCGCTCTCAAATACATAAATGAATAAATCTTTAAAAAAAAAAGATTCTGATACTTCTCCACAGACCTGAAGATTCTGGGTCATCTTTGTTTTTTCGTCCTCTGCGTGTTTGTTTTTAGAAAAAACAGAACTGAAAGCAGTGGGTAAGAACTCCTACAGGGCCTCATTCCCTCCCTATGCTCAAAGCACAAGAAAGCCAGCCAAGAGTCCCCTGCCCGTTTCCATGTGTAACAGCACTCCCAATGGCAAAACCGGGTTTTGTTGTCCCCTTCCAGAGCTCTCTTCAAAAATTTCTGTAGTGGTATCCCCTAAAAGAGTTAAATAACTTTGCAGAAATGAAGCCTGCTGGTCACCGTCCCTTTTATGGCATAAAAGGAATTTCTGCCTCAGCCAAAAGACTAAAAGTAATATATTCAGGAATATGGAGCTTATCACATCTCTTCTGAACAGGAGGAAGATATTAATAATAAAGGGGGTAAGAGAAGCCAAGGAAGGCAAAGATGTAAGCCCTCTTAGGAAGGGAGCGGAAGCGCCGGGCGGACAGGTGGAAGGACATGGGGCACCCTGAGGATGGGTGGAAGACCCACACCTTATCCCCGGAGACAATGATCTGGAAGGCACGTAAAGTGATGTGGCGTGTGGGGCTGAAGACGCACGTGCACAGGGCTGCAATGTTGGAGGCGTTACCATGGAGAGCAACTCATACTACATGGCTAATGCTTATAATTGTAGATATAATCACCTCGAGCAGAGAGTATTAACACAAGAAAGAAAGCACTACAACATCCTCTCTAAACCACAAAAACCCCATCATAAATTGGCTTGCTAACCGTCAGCGGTGTGTGGGAGCTTGCAATTCTTCTCAAATATGCGTCTAAAATAATACCACCTCAATCGCATATATTTTGTTCATTGCCCACTCTTCAACATCAGCTCTTTTACAGATACTTAAAGAACTGACTTCAAGAGAAGTCAACTAGTAGATTAAAAATGATCATTTTAATTACCTAAAAGTGGTCAATTAGCCATGTGTTGAAAAATACTTCAAATCAATTTAATGCATAAAAATAACTAATAAATTGTTATGAAGTACTTTCTACATTTACAGTGTCAAGTAAATAAATGGTCTATAATCAGAATCACCATAATCATAAAAATAATTTAACAGCCACAAAGTGACCATGGCAAATCTCCAGCATTTAGTCCCAGGATGGAGGACAGAAAACACTATATACATAAAACTGTGAAACGATGAGAAATAACTGCCACTAAGCTCACTGTGACTTGAAAAGTAATATTCAGGAAGGCCCCAAACAGAACAAAATCCAAAACCCCCAAAATTCAAGTTAAGAACAAAGAAACAAAATGGGATTTTACTTTTTTGATCAAACACATGATTTTGACCATGGATTCCAGGTAGATAATATGCAACAAACTGTTTATTAAAAAAAAATTTTTTTTTTTAGTGTGTCAGGTCTGGAAAAAAATGGACAATCTATTTTCTGATCTGCTCTCTAATGCTGATTTCACTGCTACAGGGTAAGAAAGCACTCTGGAGAATAAGAGCTGATGTGAGCTGCCTTACATTTCTTTGCTATAAAAACAATATTTTTATAATGTTAATAAATGCTAAAAATTTTAAATATATGCTAAATGTTGCTGCTTCTCATTCTTTTTAAGAATTGGAAAGCTGTGGGGTCTGATGAGTTAACCAACAAATATGTCAAGGACAAGGAAACTAACCCTAGGCATACCTTCACAGCTTAGCTAGCTTCGTTTCTCCATCTATAAAAATCAGGACGCTCTTACTGTTGTCTGTGTTAGGTAATTAACAGCGGTAAAGCACTCTGGAAGTACAAACTGCTAAATAAATAATGACTGCCAAAGAACTTTAATGGTAATGGGCTAAATCATAATGATGAAACATGGGCTTTGAACTCTACCATTTTTGTTTTCAAGTTAGTAACGCCAAGCAAGACCCCGATCTTGCAATACGGCTTCGCCTAGTGTTAGGCAGCAGGTTTAATGTAGGGATTCGAAATCACAGGAGGGATCTTGTGTTTCCAAGAGCAGTTGATTCAACTTCACATGTAATAGTGAAAATAAGGTCATGTTCTATTCCCGTGGCCGCAGATATATCACCATCATGCCTGTGTCTACTTTTTGGCTAATTCCCGCTGGAGGTCATTTTACTTGAAAATGCCCCAATCAACTTTTGATGAATTTCCTTTTATTTCACATTGATTTTGAAATCCTAAACCCCAGTAATGTTTTAAACTAGTTTTCTAGGAATAAATGACACAGACGATGTTCACCTACAATCACTGCTCTCTACCCTTCCCACTCATTTGGACTACAAGATTTATGAGATCGAGATTATTAGCTCAGTACTGTATGGTGACTAACATAACAAGAAAAAAAGGAAGAACTTTTGATGCTTCTTACACTTGCTTACTAAAGAGACAGGATGATGAGATTAGCACCACTTCTATGACCCTGCAAACTTTCCATTCCAATGGTGGTAGGAGCATGCCATGATGGCTAAAATATGGGCCAAGAGAGCTAAATTTATTCATTCATAACTAGTCTTGTTTTTTCATATACATTTAAAATAATTAATGAATGTCATGAAAATAAAAAAACAAACCAACCAACCCAAAAAATTTAGATCACGGAAAAATGGGAAAATCTTACAGATCAGACTTAATTCTTTCTCACTGAAAATATAACATATAAAAATACAGTGTTCTATCTCAATGTAAAATCTCATCATGGTTCTGCTTATAAATTATAATGTTCTCTGAATTATCTGCACAATTATAAAAAAAGGAGCTATAAAGGAGAGTTTAAACATCATTAAACAACATATAACATATATATTTGGGGAGAAAGTCATCTCCAGTGACTATTTCAAGGTAAAATTAAACATCTACGGAAGAAAACAAAGTAAAGGGTATTATTCACATTAAAATGCAAATATATAATTTTATCCTCATAATAACCAAGACCTCAAATACCAGTTCTAGTGACTCGTATTAATTTAATTGTGACATTAGCTTTTATAATCATAGACGTAAAAAGACCACTGTGTTCCAAACATAATTATCACACCAGTATCTCATTTCATGAAATTATTAGTTAAGATGAGAGCCTCTGAACAAATTTGTATTCGATTAGTTTCGCTTATTTAAGAACACTGAATAATTTAAGATCTGTTTAAATGGAAGGAAAGCGGAAGGGGTTATTTTGGAGAAGCACCATGCGTACATTTCCAGACGGACCCTAAGCTCTCCGGGACGGCTGTGAACCCAGCGTACCTTCCAGGTGAAGCCACATCAGCCTGCCCTTCACACTGACAACAGAGGCCACGCAGAGCTCTCCTGGGTTCCTGGGGTTGACGGCTTCAAGCTTCATGTTCTTCATGAAACCCCGACTGAATGATGTCTGAAAGAGAGAGAGAACGGACACTGAGCCAGAGGACAAGGCAGCAGGTGCAGCAACAGAGTGGCCCGCGGGCGAAGCACGTACGCACTGGCACACAGAGCTCATCCATCAGACACGGGCTTTCCCACCATTCGTCGGAAAAGAACCGTGACCTCCCTTGCATCCCAGAATTACAGCTCTGCTGGTACACAGCAGGTGCCTATTAGTATCTGTTGAAGGAGAGGATATGTTATCTTCCCAGTCCCGCATGCGCCCTGACTTCCACACAGTCACTGAGGTGCACAGCAGGTCTTCTTCCTTCCCTGTATTCCTCACTTGCAGCGCGCCTGTGCGTATCTGTGCGTGTGAGGAGTCGGCCTGAGTCTCCATCTGGCATCATTTCCTTCAGCCTGAAAAACATTCTTTAGCGCAGTTTCTAGTGCAGGTCTGCCGGTGGCGAATTCCCATAGTTTTACCTGAAATTGTCTTTATTTTACATTTGCGGTTTTTGGCTTACTTCTATTTACTTTCTCAATTCACTTTTTAAAAAATTTACACATAGGAACATTCACTCTTTTTGCTGCCCTGTTCCCTGAGGGTCGGCTGTTAGAGAAACGCATATAGTCTTGCGGCCATAACCTCAATCAGCGTGCAGAGCAGTCCCTTCACCTCCAAAATACCTTTGCACTAGATCTTTGAAGATCAATCCCTCCCAGACTCCCAATTTCAGGACCACGGACCTGTCTTCTGTTCCTAGAGTTTTGTCTTTTTCCATGAGATCACATCAACGGATCCATACACTGTGCAGTCTTGCTTCTTCCACGGAAGCAAAATGCATTTGGGATTCATCCATGCTACTGCACAAATGGGCAGTTCGTTCTGTTTTACTGCTGAGTATTTTCTATAGCTGTGCCACAGTCCATCCATTTACCAGTTGAAGGACATTCGAGCTGTGTCTAATTTCTGGTGATTGTGAATAAAGCCGCTATAAACATTCAAGCACAAGTTTTTGTGTGAACAGAGTCTATTAGTCTGCTTGGGATGCCATAACAAAATAACACACGCTGGGTGGATTTAACAATAAAAATTTGTCTCACTGTTCCACAGGCCGGAAGTCTGAGATCAAGGCATCAGCAGGGTTGGTTTCTTCTGAGGACGCTCTCCTTGGCTTGAGACAGCCACCTTTTCTCTCTGTCTCCAAACAGTCTTTCCTCCGTGTACACGGTCTGTGTCCTAATTACCACTTCTCATATGGACACCAGTCATACTGGATTAAGGCCCACCCATATGGCCTCACCTTATCTTAATTATCTCTTCGAAAACTCTAACTCCAAATACAGTCACATTGTGAGGTACTATGGGCTAGGACTTCCACTGTATGAATTTGGGGGGAATACAATGCAGCCTATAATGCAGCTTTCATTTCTCTAAATATGGAATTGCTGGACCACATGGTAAATGTATGTTTAACTTCCTAAGAAACCACCAAATTGGTTTCCATATATCATGTTGCATTTCCATCAGCAGCGTGCAGGACTCCAGTGGCTAAACATCCTCACCAGCACTTGGTATTGCCACGTTTTCCAATTTTAATCATCCTAATAGGTGTCCCGTGTTCACTAATCACAGCTTTAACTTGCATCTTCCCTATTGCTAATGATGTCAAGCATTTTTTCACACGTTTCTTTGTCATTTGTCTATCTTCCATGGTGAAGTGTCTGTTTCTCTCTTCATTCAGGAAGCATTAGCTTTGGTGGTTTATTTCTTTCAGTACTCTACAAACACTGGTTTGCTGTCTTCTGGTGTCCCTTGTCTATGATGTGAAGTTCACTGTCATTCAAACCGTTGTTCCTCTATTTGGGATCTATCATTTTCTCTCTGGATGCTTTCAAGATTTTTCTCTTTATGTCTGGTTATCAGCAGGTTGGGCTTCTTCGTATTTATACTAACTTGGGGCCCACAGAAATTCCTGAACCCGTGCATTTAGTACTTCCAGCTACTTTGGTAACTTTTGGGCATTGCTTCTTCATATATTTTTTCTTCCATAGTCTCTGTGGCCATTTCTTCTGGGTCTCCAACTACACATGATATCGTCCCTCAGGTCCCTGAGATTCTGTTCTCGTTCCCCACACCCAAGCTTCTTTTTCTCTCAGTTCTTCAGATAGGATCAAAATCATCAACCCTTTCCCCTGTCACCTCCATTCTGCTAGAAAGCCCTTCCAATGAATTTAATTATTTTAGGTATTTTATTTTTCAGTCCTAGAATTTCTCTTTTTTACACCTTCTACTTCTCTTCTGGCACTTCCTACCTTCTCATTCATGTTTTCCTTCTCAAACGTTAGGGTACATCTGAATCACCTGGAGAACCTTTTAAAAATGGACTGCTGTGCCTTACCCCAAAGTTTGTGACTCATTTGATTTGAGGTAAGGCCACAGAATTTGTATTTCCAACAAGTTCCCAGGTGATGCTGGAGCTGCTGGCCTAAGGACCGCACTTTGGGAATCACCGCTTTGCACCGAGCTTAGTTTTAATGGGAGCTTTAAAATACATGTCTGCTAATTCCAACATCTGAGTAATGTTGGTTTGGTCTCTGTTGATTATCTTTTCTACTGAGAATTTTCATATTTCTTCATGGGCTGAGCAACTCTGAAGTCTGGATGTTTAAAATGTTATGTGGTAGAGACTCTGGATTGTGTTATGTTCTTCCCAAGAGTGTGGTTTTCTGTTTTAAGCAAGCAATTAACTTGTCTGGACTCAAACTACACACGCTGTCTCCTGAGAAGGAACTCAAACCTCAGCTCAGTCTTCCGTCCTTAACTAGGCTGCCTGGAAGTTTGCCTGGAAAATACACAATCCAAGGATCAGCCAAAAATTTAAGCAGAGTTTATACACAGAATCTGTGCTTCCCTCTCCTGGCTCTTCCCTATCTGAGACTCTTCTCACTTTCCAACAGTTGCAGTTGCCCAAATTCCGTTATCTGGTTCATCAGGCCAGAAAGACTGTAATTTTTATATTACTGGGTTTGTCATCTCATACGTTGTCAACTGTCAAAAAAGTCTGAAAAAAAAAAATCACACAATCACCCCATAATGTTTCTTCCAAGCACCTGCTCCCCTCCAGATCTTCTCACTTCTGTTCATTCTGGAACTACCAAGGTAGTTGTTTTGGTATCCTGTCCAGAGTCTATAGTTGCTATCTGCCAGAGGATCAATTCAGCATGAGCTCAGCCAATACTCAAAGCAAAACTCCCTCCTAGCATTATTTTTAAATAAATATAAGATTTTCCAAAATCATCCACTACTATAAGTTTCAACCAGACATTACAATACTGTAATATATCTATTTTGAAATACATAAACTGAGATTAACAGGTTCTTGTAAATAACAGAGATTACATCCTTACGTGACCCATGGGAAGACACCAAGGTTATTCACATTCACGTCTCTTTTTATACAGGTTAAGTTGCAAATGCAATTACACCTTTATCTAACCAGAACAAAATTATCCAGCGTATGTTGAGAAAGCAATTTGCACTTTTCCTTTATGTTTCTTTGGAAATAGGAAACACAGAAATTCTAGGTGGGCTATTTTTCTGCAAGTCATCCTGCCCCATCCATACATACTATGTATTGAGCTTCTTTTTGATAATATGACTCGACAGACTGCCCACAAAGCCTCTAAGTAAGTCAAAATGTTTTTTTATCCTACTTAATAAGGGAAAACTACAACCGCATAACCTATTTTCATTTCAACTCACTGCTTGAGGGTAATTTATAAAGATCAATAGCAAAACTGTTACCTGTGAGTTTATTTTACTTAAGCATTTGGCTGTGTCAATCCATTTCAGCATTGCCTCTGATTGTTAAACATCCTCCGGGAAATCCACTTCCACACCACCCCTCCTCTAGTACACACAAGATGTGTGATTAAAAAAATGAATTCATAATAAGCATTCCATTAAAGAGCACTTGTAGCAAGCTAATGAATTCAGCAAAGCACCGGTAATGCAATGCACACGCCAACAGGCAGATAACAATCCTGTCGATTAAATAAACGGAGGGCCAGAAACAAAACGGGCCATATTTGTAACAAGTGCATTCCTAATGAATATGCCAGCATATTCATTAAAAGAGATTTCATCTTGGTAGCTAAATCCTGAAAGCTCAGAGGCCACCTGGGGATGTGGCTGCTTGCTCCACGATTAAATTGCACATAGCCAGCTGCTGATGGAACAGGAGCAGAAGACGGACGGATGGAAAGCAGCTGCGGTGGAACTGTGTTGTCAGAGAAGAAACAACTCCCCACCTCCAAAGCTAGGGGACACGTCAGGATTCTCCTCCCTCCCAAGGCTGGAGAGGCAGGGAAGGAATATTTCTTTTGTCAGGTAGAAAGCGCAACTCCAGAGGGGTTTGGGGATGTTTTGATAAGTATTTCCACGATCCTAAGTGAAAGGCAACGAGGCCAGGACTCTGTGACAAGTGATGTCACTGTGGTAAAAAGTCTAGTGAGACGCACTGGGATTTGATAAGCCCCGGGAGCTGACCCGCGGCTATCCTCATGGTGGCGTGCCTCCACGGTGTCCCCGTCCTACCTCCTCAACTCACCACACAGATCTTTCCATGCTGCAGAACCACCTTTGTGCAAACGCAGTGTCAGCCAGGAGAAAGTCCCTTTGGTCATTCCTGGAGCCCTGCTTTCCAGCTCTGCCGCTGATGTGTTTCCACATATGTTAAGTACAAGCCGGCCCGCTGATCAACCTACTTCATTCTTCAAAATCCGCCTCTGACTTATGCTCACTACTGAGCTTCTCTATGAAGCCAACCCCTCTGCCTCTTAGTTCTCGTATGCTATTAGCCCCACAGTACAAATTATAGGGGGTGGCAAGGAATCAGCAGCTCTAGGAGCACATGTCCAGAAAGTCTTTGATTTGGGGGCTCTCTGCACTGTACTATCTGCAGTCCCCAGTTGGAGGATTGAATCTTTTTTTTAGCATAAAGAATTAACTTTCATAACTAAATGCATGTTTAACACAGGAAGCTATATATTTACACCTCATTCTCAAAACAGAAATAATAATCCAGATCTCTTTTCATAGTTCCTAGGGTTGTTAAGGTTTCAATGAATAATTTATAAGCTGCTTTATACAACCAACTCCTACAACTAAACAAGTACACATGTGTGAACACACACACACACACGGACTCACACAGTGCTATTTTATGGGCCATCAGGCCAACAGCTCTATTTGAACCAGGAAGTGGCTTAAAGTAAGCAAAGCAGAGAACTGTTGGACTGGCATCTTATTGAAGTAATCCAAGAAAAGAAGTTGATGATCATATATTGAGACTATACCTCAAGAGCAAAGAATCTCCTATCAATGGGCTTATCAACAGTATACTCCACACAGCAAGTGCATATGTAACGTGTCCTCCTTTCTCTATAGTATGGACTCCTGGCTGACTTAGTATGGACTCTTGGCTGCAAAAAGCCACACGGCCATGGCACATTTCCTAGCCTCATTCATGGCAGGTGTGGCCGAGGGACTGGTTCTCACCAATGGAAGGTGAATGGAGTAACATGTCAATATCAGCTACAGTGTTTAGAAGTAAGACTAGCTTCTCTTTCACCCCTTTCCCTTACCTGCTCACTAGATTCAGATGATGAAGCCAAAGGCTCACTGGAGGCACACACTCATCAGGAACACACTGGACCCTTCCGTAAGTGAGAACTGACTGACCTTATCCGGAACCACCATACATTTAGCGGTGGATCTGTTACTACAGCCCAGAGTCACGCAGATACACAACCTGAAAGAGGACTTTTTCAAAACTACAAAAGCTTTACGATCCTGTGGTACACGGCAGCACTCTAATCTTGCTCAGGAATAGAAAGCAACTTACAAAATTTATGGTGATAAAAGGAGTCGCAAGAACCAAGCTGCTTACATTTCTGAAGCAGAAGGGAGGTGCTTCTTCTGTCCCATGCTGCTTGTGATAATCTGCCCAGTCGAAGTCCTGGCCAGAGTAACCTGTACAGGATGAAACACAGACAAAAGAGCGTTCATCAGGCTAAAGCTCAGACCAAATGAACAGCTTTAGAGGTTGTCACTCATTAAAATAATAAGCGGTCCAAGAATAGGGCCCCAAAGGGTGAAGTCCTCTCCTATTCCGGACAGCATGTCAGATTTTCTAAGGAGCATGTGGGAAAATGTAATGTACTAATTCTGATAAGGTATACCGTCATTATCATAATGTGGGGCCTGAAACCAGGTAAAGGGTGGAATTTACCCACATCAGCACATGCCAGGGGAGGGGGGACAGATCTGCTTTGGGGGAGAAGAGGTGAGACAGGATATTATACACCATACAACCGCAAAATGCATTTGCAGAAATATACAGGAATAACTCCCTCCACATAAATCCTGAGTTCACGTGAACTTGCTTCTCAATATCTTCATGGAAACCATGAGACTTTATTGGAAAACACCACCCAGGGGATGGTTTTTTAAAGAGTAACAGAAGGTAGAAAAAATAGAAAACAAGGAGTTGAGGCTTTCCCGAGAAAGCCTCAAAAGGCACAAAGGGCAACAGCAGTCCTGCTTTAGGATCGCACCGCGGAGGAGGAAGGAAAGAGAGAATCGGCAAAGACGGGCCTCTCCGGGTGAGGCTCTGGGGACACATCAGAGACATGGAAGGAGGAGTTCGAGAAACATTTATTCCTACATACTAAACTTAATGCAATACAGATCTTACCACAGCTGTTTTTTCCCCTTCTTTACTCATTTCACGTGGCAGGAGGGGCACAATTAAGAGTATATCTGTCATGACCACCATGACAAGACATGGGAGAAGGTCTTGGGAAGATCATCACCATGCCAAGACATGGGAGAAGGTCTTGGGAAGAGAAAACGGTTCCAAATCATAAAGTAAGCACAGCATTGGGTGTACAGTTTAACCTGGATAGCATAACACCTCCTCCTGTGAGTGTCATTTGCATTTCCCGTGAACAAAGGATAGCAATGAAAGCGAAGAGTATAGTGCCAATTGGGATAAAAAGGAAACTGTAAAATGTCACCATAACCTTCACTTGAGTGTTCTCTCTTGATGGTTTTAATGGAAAATAAATCCACAAGGGAGTTCTTAAGTATGTTTTTGAGCCAAGTCCCCATCTTCTCTTCCCCGTATCATCGTAAATCCTACACCTGCAAATTCACTTAACATGGGGACTTGTAGTTACTAAATCCCATAGCAGCCGAGTGACTGCAGAAATTCTTCTTTGAAGAAAGTCAAGATACCAGTTGCCTCCTACCTCCATGTGTACTCCCAAGTACAAGGTAGTATTTTCTTTTCATTAAGGAAGCTCAATCTACCCAGTTTCTTTAGAAGATGGGAATGGGGTTAACCAAGAAAGCACCTGTCCTCCTCTGGCCCAGGGCCTAACCCTTGGCCCTCCCATCCCCTGCTGACCATCAGTGACAGAAGTACCCCCCTTTCTTCCTAAGACATGCCGGTCATTCTATAAAGGCTGACAACTCCTCATTTCTTTCCAACACGGAGACAAAAAGTCTTATAGTTTTGAGATGCTGTACTCTTTCTAGAGTTTCAAAGAGATTCTGAAAGTTTTTCCACCTGCCCTTGCCCCCAGCCCCTCTCTCCAGAGCCAGATGGAGAGTTCTGGTAGGGGTTTCTAGAAGGGACCCCCTCATCAGAGGTTTCTGGAAGGGACCAAACCAACTTTTTTCTGAACACTCATAAACAAAACATGTTTTAGACAAGATAATGCAAGTTTCTTTACAATTAATAAAACCTCCACTTTGAGAATGGTTTCTCTGGAGCTGTTTTGGATCAAATCTTTACATTAATGTGTAAGAACAAAAGAATTTGCCAAAAGACAGCTCAAAATGCTGAGAATCTACGTGACGTATAAAAGGAGGACATTGGGATTTTAGAGCCAGCTCTATCAGGAACTGGGTGAAACAAGGCGAAAGCAAATGGAATCTTCTGTGCCTGACTTCCCTTATTCACAAAACAAAGGGAAGATCTTTAAGGCACCTCTAGCTGTTGCATTTCGTAATTCAGAGTCACCATTATTCATTATTTTACCGTGGCTACTTAGGATTTTTTCCCCTCCTTCTGTGGTAAATTCCTTCCTCTTCTCCTATGAAAAAAGTATGGCAGGGTAGATAAAGAAAGGTTATAAAACAAGATAATTCCTAAAAGCTCTCCACGGAATAGCTGAAGACAAGATGAATCCTGCAACAGAAGGACCCCATTTGTTTAGGGTTGTGGCAGACTGACTTTGCTAAGGCCAGGATCTCCTTCCGTTTCGATGTCTCTTCCCTGGACCTCTGCTGCTTAGTTACTTTCGTGAGCCGACAAAAATTTCATCAAATCATGGGGGAAGAGGGGAAATAGGAAAAAAAATATAGATGAATGACAAGCCATTTTCTGATATACCATGGAAATCTGGGTATTCTTTATGGTCAGATAAAACCTTCCAACATAGAAGTCACCTCTACTCCCCCTACAGAGGCATTTAGCTGGGCTTTCTATAATCATGTTTATAACCATGAACTTCCCAGGGGCTTCAACCCACTCCATCAAATATCATGCTCTGTGGTTTCTTAGACCTACATTCAACCCTTCTATATCCAGTCTTCCAGACTCTCTATGGGGAGCCATTTTTAATCTAATAATTTTAAGATATAACCCAAGTCTTGCTGGATACCTACGCAACAGTGGATGATTTTGCCCCCAGAGCTTTTCATTTCCTTGAACATTTGAACAGCCTAGACTTCTCCTCCTCCTCTTAGGGACCTATATTCACTTCATCACTTAAAATTCTTTTCCTTCAGGCTGATAATGAGCTCGCTCTTTGTAAGGCAGTTTTGTGACAGCCCAGAATATAAAAGCTACACAAAAACAAATTGCTCTGGTTTGTATAATAGAGACAACAGGGGTCAATTATACTCATTAATCAACAAAGACAGAACAAGTACTGAGGCTTAACTGTGGCTAGGAAAACATGTTGTAAAACCAGGAGGGAGGAAAATAGCAGAGGGGAAAAGAAAATAAAAGGAAATCAAAACCCCTCGGGCTATTAAAATCTGCAACAAGCTGCCCCAGGGAACTGTTGAACCATGGCCACTGGAGTTATTTAAGCTTTTATTAGTGTTTATTCTGAACGAAGTTCCAACTGTTACAGGTCCAAAAGAGAACAGGTCGTTGACCCATTTCCTTGTGATACAAATTAATTGGCACAAAACAGCCCCACTTGCAAACATTACTATTGGTCCTGCAAGTGGATAATCCTTTTAGAAAACAATTTGGCAGTAAAAGTGTTCACGAACTTTGACAACAATTTCACAACAATTTAAAAACAATCATAAAAACTGAAAAAGTATCCTACATTAAGATACAATGGCATTATTATTGGTAATTCTGGGGATGGAGACCACTTTACATCCCCAAATCAGAAGGGAAAGGAAACTCATCCAAGGTCCATGTGAATCATAGGGGAAATTGCACATAGTTTGTAAAAAAAAATATGAACACATTACTGCTATAGGTTTAGATGGAAAGACTGCCTGGCACAGCATGTATAGAATTATCAAATTTATATAAAAGTATGCAAAGAAAAAGACCAGAGGAAATGTAAGGAAAACTTAGTAATGGTAAATATCAACATGGTTATCTGGATGGTGGGACTTGTGGATATTTTTTTCTTCTATCTCTTTGTATTTTCCAAGTTTTCAATAATGATCATAAATTATTTCAATAAAAACTATTTGAATGTGTAGCACCTTTGCTCCATTTTAAAAGATAAGGCACTAGTCAATCAATCAAGAGCTAATTCCACATGGGGAATACACCATGACCACCTCCCAAGAGCCAACCTCCAGCTTCTCATTTGCTAACAGAATCCTGAGTTTATCCAGTTCCTACAGGAGGTTAGGACTCTCCTCAGCACCAGGAAGTGAATCATGACAACCTCATATAATCATGGTGGTTTAGACACAGAGAGTAAGAGCTGCTCGTCGATGCTGAGTGAATACGAAAAAAAAAATTGTACAATCTTCAAAAATACCATTAGCAAAAAAAATTATCATCTTTGCCATCTACCTTACTGGCAAAATGAAAGATAATAATAAGAATCTACCACTGCAAAGTCTGTTGGAAAACAGGTGCTTTTATGCATTTCTGGTTGGCACAGAACTCAAAAAACCGCTGCAGATGCCAAGTGGGCAATGTGTCAAAATCTTTAAGAAGGTGTCTACTCTCCACTAGCCATTTGCTCATTCACATATTCCATCATTTAAAAGCACTTATTAAGTGCATGCTCCATGCCAGGCACGGTTCCAGTACTAGGCACGCAGAAGTGAACAAAACCAGCAAAAACCCTTATCCAGGCAAGCTTACGTTTCAGTGAGAGGAGACACATAATGCACAAATATAAAAAGTCAGATGATCAGAGCGTTATAGAGAGAAGCAGAGAAGGGGCAGAGGGAGGGATGAAAGTCTTGAGGAAAAGCTGAAAGTCCGAGGAACTGAAGAAGCAAGACTTGTGGCCATGTGGGGCAAGGGCAGGCCAGGGGGAGGGGCCAACAATTGGGAAATTCCAGGAGCATGTCTGGAATGTTCTAGAAAGAGCAAGGCGGGGGGGGGGGGGGGCGGGGAACTGCAGGGCTGGTCAGAGTGAGCTGGGGTGAGAACAAGGCAGTAATTCCACTATGGAGCATCCTACAGAAATAACAGGATGCTGTGCAAACATTTTATGCATCAAAGCAGACGAGAACAATACACACAAACAAGAGGGACGTGTTTAAGTCATTTATTTATCTGCAAATCACGGAACTTTCCCGTCATTTAAAGCAGGAGACATTTTGGCATGTAAGTGGCAAATCAGTGTGTATAAAATAATTAAATCAATACACAAAGTTACATATTCTGGGAAACAGAAATCTAAAGGAATATACACCAAAAGTTGTTTCTTCAGGATAGGAAGCTTCTTTTTTCTCCAAATTTTAAA